TGTGTGTGTGTGTGTGTGTGTGTTTTGTTGTTGTTTTTTGTTACGGCGCTAATTGAAACTGCACAAGGTCACGTGAACGCAAAGGACACATTAAATATTGTAGTTTTGGTAGGAATCAATTTCGAAATTTGCCATGGTGGCGGCTGAAGCCTTCTCTTTCCAATTTTAGGACCACCAAGGGATCTTTAACGAGCGCAACAGGACCTCCGAGATTGATTCGCCCTTATAAAATTTAAAGGCTAGGTGTTAGATCCTATACTTTCCCTGAGATCAGAGGTGTGGCTGAAAGACATCAGTAAGATTAAGCAGGGGTCGAGGATTCAGGAGCCTAGAGGAGGGGATGTTAAATTCATCGGGTTTGACATTTATATTCTATTAAACTGAAAAAGGAAACGAATGTTTTAATCAGCAGAAGGAGCAGACAGTGGAAACGAAAGCCGACAACAGAACATGGGTAGAGAACAGGAAAGGAGCTGAACAGAGAAACTTCTAGAGAAGAAAATTTTCCGTCGCTGCCAGGTTACGAACTCGGGACCTCTTGAATGAGAGGCGAACACCGTACCCCTAGACCAAAGATTCTCTACTACACGATCTTTGTGTAGACCACGTCTGGAGCCCCCGACGTAGTACTTTTGATGAAGACATCGGCAAATAATTTATAAACCCTATCCGTATGTCGTGTTTTACTATCGTATCCATACGACGTGGGGAACTCTGTGCCGCCACTTTCAAAGAGGAAATTTACTCGTTAATTAATCCGATCAGTACGCTTTGCATAGCAGTCTGTCAAAATGATTTTTTGAGAAATACTGAAAGTTTCAGGGAGATCTTCGTACTAGAAGTATTCTAAAATGTTTAGAATACAACCCTGGGGGTAGCCTACAAATTGACCCCCCCAGGTGTACGGATAGTGTTAATTATGGTCATAACACCAATGCCAGTACAATATACTGACAGCGTGCCAGTTTGCACAACACCAGCGCGATCAGACAACACAAAATGAACGATTTTGGTAGGCCTCTATCATAAACAAACTATGTACCATGTATGAGAGTTAATTAAGGCGAGATTTTCCAGCGACTTTGCAATCAATAGTCAGATAATCCCACGAGGAAGCAATTGTTATATTATATATATTTGTCAGTCCACGAAGTGTCTATCTAATACATGTATGTATTTAATTTCAATATATATTGTGAATTTGCAATTCAAGGTGGCTTCATATAAGATGTTCTGAAGATGCCGATGGTAACATCGAGGTCTTTATTGAGGTGCGCTTGATAATAATATATTTTTAGGGAAAGGCATAGGCCTATCTCGCATTCAGATAGTAGA